ATGAGGGGCAGAGAGGAGGCTCTCTTTGCTTGCCTTTGGTTCCTGGCGTGTCTCCCAGCCTACAACAGTGCCCGGTACAAAGTGGGCATGCAATTCATAGCTACAAACTAGGGAAGGAGAAAACCTACAGGACTCATGCTGCCTGCTCAGGCTGCATCTCGTGTTGGGTTCCTGACCTCTCTTGTCAGTTCCGCACAGGAGTAGAGCTGAACCTTCTCGGCCCCAAAGGAAATGATTTTGCCCTGAAATATGGACAGTGATACTACTGGAGAAGCTATTACAATAAAGCCACAGGCCAGCGATACAGAAGTTGAGATGACATGGCATACAGCTGTTGATCTTAGCTACAAATGAATGAAAAAGAAGGATGAGTAGGATAAAAGTATATTATTTATATGTATGGAAAGATCATAATGAAATCCATTCATTTGTATAATTAATATATCCTAATGAAAAAATAAATACTAAAAATTGCAAAGAAACTGGGTTTTTACAGTGGTTATTGGTACTGTAATGGCTCTTAGCTTGCTCTAGGACCAGCAGGCTCTAAGCAGGCAGTAGCCTTTAATGACATCAAGATGCAGTGGGAACCAGGGATAGTGACTCCGAATTGTAATCCCACCCTTTCGTTGGAGGGCCAGTCTGTGAACACAGAGAAACCTAGTCAGTCACACACATGCACACACACACGTGCACACACACACACACACACACACACACACACACATGAGGATTGTGGCAGGATGTCAGGAGGTACAGAGGGCCTCACATATACAAGATGACCAAGAATAGTTTCAGACGTGCCTCCCTGGATCCTTTGCAGAGAATGCTACATTGCTGATGGATGCTGAGAACCCAGGTGACTATGGAAAAGGAGAAATTGAGGCCAGGGAGGAAGGGTAAGGAGAGATGGGGAACAGCATTATTCTCCAAAGCACCTTTCTCGGACCATTTCTGAGGCATTAATAGGCAAAAGGGATTCTCCGTTGATCAGCTAGCTTGAACAAGGCTACATAGGTTTCCTGATTCTTGACTTACTAGAACACGTGAAACATTAAATGTATTCTGGAGTACCAAGGTAGTTTTCATACAGAGCACATTATGCTTACTTTTCAGAACATCTTATAAAATTAGGGTTCAGTGCAGTGCTCTTTAGAAAATCCTAAGGAATAAGCAGGCATCATGGTGCAAACTTCTAATCCTAGCACCTGGGAGATGGAGGCAAGAGGATCAGAAGTTTAAGGTCATCCTCAGCTACATAGTGAGTTTAAGGCCAACCTAGTCTACCTGAGCCCCTCTCTAAAGCCATGGGAGAAAGAAAAAAGAAAACAAAAGGCTAGCCTAGGATAGAAAGACTTAATAGGAAGACGGGATAAAATCAGAACCCACTTATTTTTAAATGGCTTTTGGGTCATTTAATTTGTTAAGAATAACTTCCTATTACTCTTTGAGTGAAATTACAGTCATGAAATTATGAAACCATAATTGGTTCAGAGGAATAATAATAAAATCATTTATCACACTCATAAAGACAGAAAAGTTAATTTCCAGGCCAAAGTTATTACAGTCTTTTAATTTACGACAGCTACAAACATGAGCTTAAAGTCTCCGCCTTGACAAATTACCCTAGAAGGAAGAGAAGAACACAATCATCTAATCTTCTTGTAGATCTCAAAGAGAAAGTTTAGTTTAGCATTGAGAAAAAATAAAAGAGGACACTTTTATATTCAAATTGCTTTTTTTCTTGCAGTTGAGTCTCCCATAGGCTTCTGAAAGAATGAAACAGTGTTTTCATTTTAGTTGAATACTGCCCTCTGCTGGAACGTGCAGACGGCTCCTAATATTCCTTCAAGGAATATTCTAGAAAGTCTACAAAATACACACATAAGCTATTTGGAGCTAGAGGTATTACATTTCTAGTCAAGTTCTTTTGGTTTGGTGACTTCAGTCCTGTTGATTTGGTTGTCCCAAAGACCCACCAAACTCAACCTATCGAAACTGAGTGCTTTGTCACAGTCCTGCCTTCTATCCCACCCAGAAACATGCCTGAGGTATACGAAGAACCTTCCTTCTTCCTCCCCATGGCATCTGATCAGACCCTCCATCAAGACAGTGCTAGTCTTTCCCTCCCCTCCCCTGGCCTTACCCTGTCATGGTGCAGCCCTTCTGCATGACTTTCTGAAGCTCACTGGCCAGTCCCACTTGGACCTTTAAACCCAATCTCCATTCTCCCTCCAGAGTGACCTCAAGGAGTTTGAGCCCATTTTATCTTGTAGAAGCCTTGCCAATCTGATTGTGCTCACACCAACATTCCTGGTATTTCTACCACCATACATGTGTATAAACATGTACACACACACACACACACACACACACGCACGCACGCACGCACGCACGCACGCACATACATCCCTATCCTCAAGAAATAGAAAATGACCTGCATTTCCCCCTGTGCATTATCTGGTTCAGGACTCTGTATTCATGTATTTCCCCTGTCTAGAATTCCCTTTCCTTCCTTTGATCACAGCTCCAGGGTCGTACTGTCCATGAAGTCTTCCTGGATCATGTCACTATCACAGTCTGCACGAGATTGCAATGAGATCTGCAGGTGAGCCCTGGAGTACTTCCCACACTCTACCCAGAGAGCCTGCTTCCCTGCCCCAGCCACAAACTATACGCCCCTTTAGCTTCGTAACTCTGAATCTAGTGCTTATTTAGACTTCATTTTGTTCTAAATTGGTTTGGAGGTAGATTTATAAGAGAAAAAAGATCTAAGAGATGATCTTGATAAAAAATCAAAAGCTGACTCTTAAGAAGGGTAGTGGCTTAAGAAAGAAATGAAGGTAATATAAAAATGCAGTGAGCACTCACAATTGGCAAACCAAAAACTTGTCTCTAAGTATCGTTATCAGCCAAGGAGAAGAACCCTGATCAGTTACAGTTACAGCAATACAAGTATGGAAGTGCTTAGTGGAAACCAGTCTTCCTGACCCAAGACCAAGAAGAAGTTTCTCACATAGGTTCAAGGAGAAAACATAACATCGTCTGCCACCTCCTGGGGCAAACCAGGGCTCCCTCCACACAGCCAGCAGCAGCACTCACAAAGAGCAGCCAAGGCAATTCCAAGCCCCATACCCCAGGAATCAGCATAGGCAGGAGGCTCAGCTGATCACTTTTAACTCAGTAACAGGTACAATGTGAATGGGCCACACAGACCTCCAGCAACTCTTCCTAAGTATTCTTTCTCAAAAACTACATTTTAGCAAACACAGTGACAATCTAATGTTGCACTGTCAAACACTTCTGCTAAGCAGCTGCTCTGTGTTGCTATTTAAATGCAGAATGAAAATACTAGTCAGCTGTTAGCATTGGTAGCATAGAAACAAGGATCTTGTCCTATCTTTCCCTGACCCCAGCATCTGCTATGGTTGTTCTCGCCCCATCAGACTAGTATTTTTTATATCCACAGATATTTTCTAGCTTCCTATCGCCATCCAAAATTAAGTTAATAACCAATTCTACACTGAGATATATAAATAACCTTATCTATACACATAATTTCAAAATAAAGAAATCAATATAATACCCTAGATAAAATATGAAGCAAAAGAAAACAAAAAGATCATTTGTATTTCAACATAAAAACTGTTTTCCTACATACTTAGCAGATACAACGATGTGGTTAGATTTTTGTAATGACTGGATTTGTGGGGTGGACTAAGATTCTATTTCATATAAGAGGAAGATGCAAAAAGTAAAGTAATAATGCTTTCTACAATAAAAACACGTTTAGTATTAAACTTACTAACAGATCAGAATTCTATTATCTGTATAGAGAAAAGAGGAAATGTGTGAATAGCAATAAAGATTCCATGTCCAGAAAAACTGCCATGCTAAATAAAATGAGGGGCAGTGACATCTCTGAGGATGAACTGGATGCTCTGCAAAAGGGTGTGCCTAGTGAGTCCACGTTCCTTGATGTGGTGCAGTAGTGACAATGTGCTATAAAAGCATCTTTCACCAGGCGTGGTGGTGTACATCTTTAATCCCAGCACTCAGGAAGCAGAGGCAGGTGGATCTCTGTGAGTTCGAAGCCAGCCTGGTCTCCATAGTGAATCCAGGACAGCTGGGGCTACAGGGAGACCCTGTCTCAAAAAGACCAAAAAAAAAAATCTTTCGGGGGCCAGAGAGATGGCTCAGTGATTAAGAACTCTGGTTGTTCTTGCAGAAGACCTGGGTTCGAATCCCAGCACCCACATGGCAGCAAACAACTGTCTGTAACTCCAGTTTCGGGGGATCCAACAGCCCTTTCTGTCCTCTACGGGCATTGCACAACAAGGGTGCACTTACCTACATTCAGGCAATACATGCATACACATAAAATAAAAATAATAAATAACATATTTTAAAAAAAGAAAAAAAAGCATCTTTTCAGTGAGAACTCCCACCATGAAAGAATTGTGCATTCAGTCTTGGTATTGGCTGTATAGGAAAGCTCTTAGGTGTGCAGAACCATCCCATACCATGATGAGCCTCAGCACCCCTGGCCCCTTCACCTCTATGTGCTAGCATTGCTGCCCGCCCCTCATACCAATGAACACACTTCTGTGCTTTTTGAAGTAGCCATCAACCCAACCCAGAGGAAGAGTTCTATAAAAGCTGAATGAGTAGAGCAGCAAACAGTTGACTGAGGATGGAAGGGATGAACAAAGCAAACTTTGGAAGGAAGAAAAGCAATGTCATAGGAACACACAAGAAAAGGATGTGCTGAGACGGTGCACTGCTGACCAGGACCACGAGGACCAATGCCAGTTGAATACGAAGCAAATACAAACGGCACATTGTCTTTGGACCCAGGGATAGTGTTGTACCCCACAACTTCAGATCTTGCCTCTGCACCCTTAATTTCCTCCTGTGCTTTACCGCACACTTCAACAGACTGGTTAGCTGGCTAGTCCTGCACTTTCTGGGTTCCTTGCATGGGAAGGCTTCATGCATACCGTTTTCACTTTCTACAGCTCCAGAAGGCATGGTTGGTCTTCCCTCTGGCCTGGCTTCTTGCTCAAAAGCCTAAGAAATAAAAGGGAAGGAAAAAAAAATCACTGAAAACCATTTGAGGCTTCATATATGCAATAAAGAGGTAAAAAATCATAATCAATGATCTCAGAGCTTGGAAAACTGGCTAAGAAAGGGGTGGTAAATTCTGATGGAAGAACACATGGCCAGTGTCCCATGATGAAAAGACCATAAGTCAGGGAAAACTCAGAAGCAAGCGGGGAGTGGGGGTGAGTGCAAAACTGTCCCTGCCACAAATCCTTGCTTTTCTGCAGGTCACAGGGTCTCAGGAATATAATTCATGAGCTGGAGAGAGAATAATCTTGACACAAAAAGGGAGAGAGGCATGTGTAAATACCCACCCTGCTGGAGCATCCCATACCCACATCCTACACAAGGTGAGAGGACCAGGTGACAGGGTAGGACCGTAGTCAGGGAGTATCCAGGGTGACCACAAGTCAAAAAAGTATTCAGGCTAGCACACACTGGCACAGGCTGTCCGGGGCCAGAGCCAAGTTGGTGAGCCATCTCAAGGCCTTAGCGAGAACCTGCCTTTTGAGATTCCGGAGCTCAGCCAGCGAAAATGTGAAGAAACAGAATTATGTGTTAATTTGTCAAATAGTAACACAGCTCAAGATAGCATCAGCATATGTTCTAAAATAAATCTTCAGCCTCCTTGGGTGGAAAATCACCAAAGTAAACATAGACTCCTGAGTCCTACTAAGGACATTGTTAAGTTGGTAGATCAAGTGCCTCACTTGTTGACTGTTTCAGAGCAATATCTTGAGGCCAGAGCTAAAACAGACATGAAAATGTACCCAACTTACCGAACCACAAAGGGGTAGGCAGCACTAAGTGTGTAGTGATCCACCATGGCTAGCTCTGCTACTGCCCCTATAAGTAGAAGTATTCTCTCTTCAGGGCCCTATGGGATTAGGGATGGCTAGAACAGGTCTATAGTAGGAACTACCAAGGGGATATGTCCTGGTTAGTTTTTATGGTCAACTTGATACAACCTAGAATCACTTGGGAAGAGGGAACTTAACTTTAAGAGCTGCATTAATCAGATTGGCCTGTGACCATGTCTGTGAGAGACTGTCTTGATTGATGTGGAAGGGTCCAGCTCACTGTAGGTGGCACTATCCCTAGGCAGGTGGGTCTGAACTATATAAGAAAGCTAGCTGAGCATGAATTAGCAAGCAAGTCAATAAGCAGTGCTCCTTCATAGCTCCTGCCTCCAGGTTCCTGCCTTGAGTTCCTGCCCTGACTTTCCTCAGTGATGGATTGTGACTTGTAAATGTAAGTCAAATAAACCCTTTCCACCCCAAGTTGCTTTTGGTCATGGCATTTATCACAGCATCGAAAAGCAAACTAGAACATAGTGGTACATAGTATGAGGACTGGGGCTTAAAGAGGGGTCCCCAACAAGCTCCAGGCCTGAGATAGCCACTTGCCCCATGTTTATCTAGGGAGAGCCTTGGCCTTGAACTCTTGTCTTTCACTAAGGGAAATTGCCAAACCTATGTGAGAAAGCCACATCAGATGATGCTGGTTTCTGATTACAAAACTAAACCTAAAATAAAACACATTTTAATAAAGGCTATGAAACCTTAATTTTTATTCTTATGAGTTATTTGGGACACAACTTTAGAAAAAATTTCCTAGTTGACTTATTCATTCTGTCTTAATTTTAGAACTAAATTATCAGTGTCCCGATTAACAGGAAAGGCTTGTTTAAAAGGAAATAATTTTTAAATCATTAAAAGGCATAGGCAAGCTTTTGCTTATTGCAGTTCAGAAAACAACAGCTCACTGGCAGAGCCCAGGCTGAGTGTGTGAAAGGCCCTGTGTTCAATTCCCAGCACAATGCAGCCAAATAAAACTGAAAACAAACTATATACACACATAGAAACTATTTTTAAAGTTCTTTAAATTATTTATTATATTTTATTTATTTATTTTGTGTGTGTGTGTGTGAGAGAGAGAAGTACCATGGAGTGTGTAAGGAGGTCAGAGGGCAACATGTGGGTCCCAGGGATTGAACTCAGGTCATCAGGCTAGGCATCAAGTGCCTTTACATGCTGACCCATCTCACTGGCCCAAATTTCTTTACATCAGTTATTTTTAATATTTATTTTTATTATTTTTAGTTATGTGTATGTCAATGTCTGTGTGTGGGTATGTGAACATGTGTGCAGGTGCCCAAGGAGGCGACAGGCATCAGATCCCCTGGGAACAAGTGTTAAAGCAGTTGTGAGCTGGTCAGTGTGGGTGCTGAGAACCAAACTCAGGTCCTCTGCAACAGTAGTATTTACTCTTAACCACTTAGCCATCTCTCTAGTCCCCTGAACATCTGTTATTATAGCTTAGATATTTAGCACTAATCTGTCACTTTGACATTTAGTGTGTATTACAAATTGTCATGACATCAACTATAAGGCAGAGTGAAAACATAAAAACTTAACAAATTTGGCTTCTAAAGGTGAGTTAGCAGAACAACTCTGGTACATAGTAAGGTAAGCTCAGGATTTGACAGCAAGGTTTCACTGTTCTAGTCCCAGAGACTTGAAGGAAACACAGTGACAAATGAGAATGAGCATGTCTTTTTGACTGGACTAGGTATGACTGCGGGTCTGTGTACATGGACCAGCCTCTCAGATCATTCTCAAGAGCTGTCACATGAAAACAGACTTTCAGAGACTGGACTGGAGAAATGGCTCTGAGACTAAGAACACTTGCTGTTCTTCCAGAGGACCCAGGTTCGATTCCCAGCACCCACATGTCTGCAACCATCTGCAACTCCAGTTCCAGGGGATCTGACACCCTCTTCTGACCTCTGTGTGGCAGTGCACTTACATACATGCACCCATACACATAAACAAAAAAATAATAAATAAAATATTTTTAAATAGAGAACAAACTTTCATACATACAAGGCTCAATAAAGTTTGAATTCTTCAGTTCTTTTTTATTATTTATCCTTTCCTTTATTCTACCACCCTTCTTTCCTTCCTTCTTTTTTGATAGGATCTCAATATGTAGCCCAAGCTGGCCTCAAACTTGTGATCCTCCTGTTTCAGCCCTCCAAGCGCTGGAATTATACATCTGCACCATAATTCCTGGTTGAGCATTAAAACTCACACACAGTCCATATGTAATCACATTAATATTATTTTTTCTCAATTATAAAAGTGAGTGTGGACAACCCATTTAAGAACTGCCTCTTGCTTACACTTAACATCTAACCAAGTAAGATGTATCATGATTACTGCAGTTGATCAACAGTTTTTAATTCAAAAACATACAGAATCATTTACCAGGCCAGTTGGAGTGAATGACTTTGGATATCAGGAAGAGTCTCAACCCTCTCCCCAATCCCTTCCAGACTCCCTACTTACCAGCCACACTCCTCATGGAAGGAAGGAAAAAGAATTCTATTGTAACTGATTCTGGTTTCGTTTTGTTTTGTGTGTTGGTTGGTTGGCTGGTTGGTTGACTGATTGATTGAGACATGGTCCCAGGCTGGCCTAGAATTATGTAGCCTAGATTGGCCTCAAACTCATGGCAATCCTCCTGCCTTAGCCCCCCAATTGATGGGATTAGAGGAGTGAGCCACCATTCCTATCTCTCAACTGATTCTTCGATCATTTTTTTTTCATGGAATGAGAACCTCAGACACGGGACATCATCTCTATTTGGTCATCATTATTATAAAGCCCACTATATAAATGATTGATGGATCTAGATTTATTCATCATAAATTTTCTCCAGAGTCAATATCTCAAGTATGTATGCTGTGTCAACAAATGCAGCTGCACAACTGCAGAATTCTGTAAAGAAGCAAATGCCCAGTATGTTCTGCTGTGTGTCGCTCTCATTCTATTCTTTCTAATCACCATGGGCCATGTTGCTGTCTGGGCATCTCTCCTGGGGCCATGCGTGTCCCTGTATGGTTTCAGGGGACAGAACTCCCCAGAATGCTGTAAAGCTCAGTGTCTGCCTGGCAGGATCTCACCACCATTCGGTGCTTCAGTGAGAAACCACAAAAATGACAGAAGACTCCAGTACTTTCAAGCTAAGCCCTAATAAATGTATCTGCTTTCAAGTTGGGTTTTTTTTTTGGGGGGGGGGCTTTTTGAGACAGGGTCTCCCTGTAACTCCAGCTGTCCTGGAACTCACTATGTAGACCAGGCTGGCCTTGAACTCACAGAGATCCACCTGCCTCTGCCTCCTGAGTGCTGGGATTAAAGGTGTGTGCCACCACCCCCGGCTCAAGTTGGCTAGTTAATCTGTTTGGAAGCCTATATGGCCAGGAAAACTGTGCCTTACTAACAGATGTGCTTGAAGCCCCAGAAGGCCACAGGATCTGAAAAGTTGAGTCCACCGGACCACTGAGCATTGTCTACTAGACTGATCATGGTCCTTTTCAAAACAAGTTTGCTTACTAAAAATGAAAATACGCAAATACTCTTTATAGTCATTCAAACTCTATAAAGTATTACTATAAATAGTAATGATGAAGGTGAGCTATCTCAATTCCAAGATGGACATGGTATAATAGCCCTCAAATCTTCTGTTGGGGCCACAGCAGGAAGGAGCAAACCTCTGTGTAAAAGGACTATGTTTCCACCTGTTCTTATTTGTATGCAAATACTAAGAAAGATTACATACACCTAAGTCATAAGAAAGCTATGGATTAGACACTATAAACTGTTTTAGGTAAGGATTCTAATACTGTCAATATGTGCAAAGAAAATATCCAATATTAGAATACTAAAATCCAACCATGGGAGCCAGGTGTGGAGGCACGCACTTATACCAAAGACACAGTAGAAAGAGGTATGAGGATTGTGAATTCAAGGCTATCCCTGGCTACATAGCAAGACCTAGTCTCAGAAAACAAAAAGACTGGAGAAGAAATGTAAATGGATCATAAACCACTATTTCTATGCTGCCCACATGGGATGATGTTCATTCTGCTGAGCTAACACAGGCTCTAATTCCATGTCCTCTAGTCTTCATTAGGAAAAAATTTTTTAAAGGTGCCATTCAGCTGCCAAACAGCATACCCAAAACAGCACATCACTGAGGATACATGCATTATTATATAATGGAATTACTAGGCACAAACCTTAACAAGAGAGGCCCTGTCCCAAAAGTATTTCCGGAAGAGTTTGATATCCGCCTCCAGCAAATGCTCAGCTGTGTGGTTAACAGTGAGAGTCAATGTTTCAGATGAGTGAGCCAACTGCAGAGAGGCATCTTCCTTGAGCCACACTCGGGAGAAGCCTGGAGAACGGGTGCCCTGAAAACTGAAACATCACAAGTCAAAATCCATAACAATCCCTCAGACCCAAGTACCCACCTTCCCAGATCTTACAAATCCAACTGAGAAATGACCCTTAGGAGTCACTTATACACCAAAATACATGAGATAAAGTAAACAGATCCTGATTGAGTCATTTTTCTTTTTCCAAATAAGGGTGTTTTTGAAAGACAATGAAATACACTATTTGCTTTAAAAGTTCATATAAATAACAAAACAGGCCTGATTTTGAAACACAGAACTTTACTGCTCTATTTCATTCTCCCTTTGATCTGAAAAGATGCCTCTCCCTTTAATGGAGTGTGCCTAGAACAAATTAGCTAGCAACCAATAGTTTATTAGGTGATTACAATGGAAAACAGATATGATCTCCAGGGAGCATGGTGAGGTTTGGATGTTACAAACAACTAAGCTATTCCCAGCACTGTGGCGAATCACTTTCTCATGCAAATTAAAACATGCATGAATTTGATCATGCCATATTTTTTCATATATTCATTAACAAGGAAACAATATTCCCAAATTAGACTCTTGAATATAAGCTTATTTTCTGCCCTGTCTAGGCTGGCTAAGAATAACTGTATTAGCTATATATAGTCTTATTGCTAGAATCACAATATTAAGGATTGCTTATAAGAATACACAACAGCAGCCGTAAAGATGCCCTGGGAGAAAAATACTAATGTTCAGCATGTGGTCACATCCTAACAGTCCCTATGTCCTTATTTCACAGAGCCAGCTCTATGTCTGTCATGACCTCATTTTGTTGATAAATGTTTGCCTTATAGAAATATATTAAACAGATAGTCTGTAACTTATGATGGCTTGACTTGTGATTTTTCAACTGTTCAATGCTGCCAAAGATAGATGCATTTTTTAGAATTCTTACTTCAGGTTTTAAATCTTGATCTTTACTCTGGCTGGAGAGATACACACATAGTATGTTATTCTCTCCCACTGCTGGGCAGTGGCAGAAAGCCTTGTCCCTCAGTCAGTCACACAATCATGAGAATAAAAATCTGATAGCCCACAGTGGACTGTGTTGCTCAGTTATGATGTTTGGGATGCTGGGTGTAGTAAATGCATTGACAACTTGGAATATTTCAACTTAAAATGGATTCCTAAAAACATACCTCCATTTAAAGTTGAAAAACTTCTGTACTTAATTGAAATAAGCATTTCTCCATTATATGGAGTGATAAAAAGAGATCTATAAAGAACAGTTGTACACTAAGACACACTCTTCACACTAATTCCAAAATCTTCTAGAAAACAACTCCCCATATCAACAAACCACTGAGGTGAATAGACCCTGAGCTAAGATCCCTGCTGCTAATTTAGAATAGGAACACTCTATTATATGATTAGAATTGAATCTACTTTTAATTCCATCTGTGCCTGGATCTATTAAACATGGAAAGTTTTAAAACACTGTTTCTTCTGCTGCTGGAACAGGAAAGAGATACAAAGCCACCAGCAGATACAGATACTAAGCCATCTGCCATAACTAAGTTAAAGGATACAACCTTGCCTTGTCCTTTGTAGCCAAAAAAACCAGAGTCCTGTTACAAAAGAAAAGAGCAATTCCCTTTGGATTGGTTTGTCCCTTGGATGATGATTATTTGATCAAATAAAAGAGGACGAAAGAAAGAGAAAGCTCTGGTTTCTGCCTAATAGCCACTTGTGCATCATATTACCATTAATTAATTGTATCAAATTAATTACATTGAGTTCCAAGAGCCAAACAAGAAAAACCAGCCCATTAAGTCACATCATATAACATTCTAACAATATTTAATATTTATGTAGAACTTTGTCACTTTCACTGTAGTGTTCTATTTACAATTTATATTTCATACATGTTAAGTCTATCACTACATATGATTCCTTCTTTCATAAGTTAGAATAATGATTCACGTGAATCAAAGTAACAACAAGTACACTTGTCAGTCAGTAGGTGCTAACACCGTCATCCACACAGAGAACTTCATACTTAACAAATTATTTCCTTACACTAGTTCACTAAACTCTAATGGCTACCCATAGAGTGTCTGCTATTCAATAATACAACAACATTACATTCTTGCAATGAAAATTATGAGCTTGGCATTGGACTAGAAATGACTAGTTCAGCAAGTAAAACATAAATGGTCCCGGCTTTTGAATGAAAAAAAATATATATAATTATAAACTGTGATTACTATTATAAGTTAACCATAAGCATAAAAGAACATAACTCAGAAGGCTTCTGTGAGGAAATGACACTTAAGCCAAAAACTGAAAGGCAAGTTAGGACACTGCTTCACCAACTCCTTTTTTTATTACCTCCCCCCATGGATCCTTTGAGACATTTTCTTTCCTGTCTTTTCCTCGTGGTATAATAGTACCAAATACATCTGCTTACATACTAGCCAAACACATATTTATACTACATATAAGAGAACTAGCCATAAAATCATAAGCCAACATTAACGTATAGTTTGATTATTTCCATTTTCCCATAATGCCTGTCAGGCTTTATAGACATGGATTAAAAGAGATACTATCAAGCAAGTGAACTCACTTTGCAATGTCTTTCACCAGCACGGAGTGTCCACCATGTGAAGCCAAGTCCAAGGGTGTGGCACCCTCTTCATTGGGTAGTGCCAAGGCCTGGAGGCCCCCCGGGAGACACAAGAGGAAGTGGGAAAGCTTAGTCAGGCCCCATCTCACAGCCAGATGCAGGAGAGACTCTTTGTGTAGAGATACTGAAGAGAAGAGAAAATCTATTAGTTCCTCCATTAACAAAGTTTGTTTTGAACATTTTATTAAATGTGTATGTAGGCATAATGAAAATATCAGAGTTGGAAGGGACCAAAACTATCTAATCTCAACATCTCATTCTATGAATGGACAGAGGTCCAGGAATTTGCTCAAGGTCTGGGAGCCAAATGGCACCAGAGCTAGTGTACTCCTCACTGGTACAATTTCCACTCACTATGTTGCACCTTGCCCCATCCACGACTAAGTGTGCCGGAACATCACCTAAAGATGCAGGATCTAGGGAAAGAGCATCTTTGGGAATATACTTCAATGTCTGAGGTCTCCTTAAGCAGCTCCCACCACCCTAGCAGGGTAGGCTCTCAAGGCCAAGAGGGTAAAAGAACCTCTGTTTCTACAATTCATCCTCAGAGCTGCTTCTCCCTCATGAGAAGCTGTGACAGAAAGCAGCTTCACATATTTTCATATTCATAGCACTCAAAACTATGACCTGTCTCCAACTTCAGAATGTTGCTTTGCCTATTAGATCCCTGACAGTAATTCCAAACTGCCAAGCCATCCTGATGCTATGCAGTGGTGAGGCCTGGGCCTTCACGAATGCCCTGGGCAGAGGCCTTTGGTGGCCTTGTCTTGGTGTCCACCATAGTATTTGCTGCTCTGTATTATAATGGCTTCCTATCACCTTACAAACTGACAAACCTGGGGCTGGAGAGATGGCTCACAAGTTAAGTGCACTGACTGCTCTTGCAGAGGACCCGGGTTCGATCCCCAGCACCCGCATGGCGGCTATGAACTGTCCTTAATTCCAGTTCCAGGGGAATCCAATGCCCTCTTCTGACCTCAGCAGCATTGCATGACACGGATGCCCTCACAAACATATGGGCAATACATTCATACACATAAAATAAAAATAATAAATAAAATATTTTAAAAAACAAACTGACAAACCCTTGAAGGTTCTCCTTCTTAATATCCAGCACAGTAGCTGGTTATGCATAAAGCCATTAAGTATTTGTAGTGTTTAATAGTGATTAGCTATTAAAATCTCAATTATTTATGTATGTTTACTTAATTTGTAATTTGTAAAGAGTTTGTACACTTGTCTTCTTACTATAATGCCTAGAACATGGGTAGCCCATGATAAATACGGTACTGTAAATATGTAGCATTTCCCTACATTAAAAAGCTAGGCCCAAGCTGTGCTGGTGCATACCTGGAATCCCAGCACTTCGGACACTGAGGCTGGGGGATCACTTGAACCCAGGAGTTTGAGACTAGCCTGGACAATAACAGCAAGACCCAACCTAAATACATATATATATATAAATGCCTGACCCATGAACTCTATATGCACAATCATATCTCAAAGACACCTTGTTTTAACAATGTAAGTATGAAAACCCCAGCACTGAAGATCTGTTGCAATGAGCAGGCAGTGGGAATTTGAGCTACATATACTGTAGTAAGCAATGTTATTGATGATATTCATAACCCAAGAGAATCAGACAATGGGATGAAAGGCCCAGTAGCATAGGGACCTTGTCTTCTGTCCTGTGGGATTCCAAGGGCAGTGCCTGGCACACTTGCTAAGTATTTGCAGATTAGATGAAAGAATAAATGGATGGATGACAAACCCCTGTGGAAACTGAGTGTTTGCATGTGCCACAATGTAGAGCATCTGTCACTCTCAGTTTTGTCTCAGATACCTCTTAAGTGAAATCTGACAGCAGAAACTATGTACTTCCAATCAGTACTCCCACATACAACTGGGACACTAACAGTAAAAATGTCAGCCTCCCGCAGAGCTCACTGTCCACATAACCATGATCTTATTGTTCTTCTCTCTTCATTAGCATAACTTCACTATTCTCAGACACTCTTGCCCAAGCAAACCAATGATTGTTTACTGCAGGAATTTCCCTCAACATTCATCAACTCCTCAGCGGAAACCATCAAGAGACAGTACAGAGCAGCTCTAAATCTAATTGTAAACTATCATAATCCTTGCCTAATCAGGCCTCCTACCAACCTACCTTTTCCCCTCATCATCACCAGCCCCACTCCCACAATGAAAAAGCATCATTAATCTAAACTTCAATATCTCAATGAATTAGAGTCTTGCCATCCACAGGTCCAGGTCCCACTAAGGCTCTGTGACAGTTACCCTCTTACCCTGACAATGGTCGGATTGAGGGTATTTATGGAGAAGGCATTGAACAAAACGCTAAAACAACTAGAAGGAAATGTTCCACTGTGCATGAACATAGAATAAAACTGCTCAGTTTATACTTTTCATAGGTCTGTACTGCTTTCTCTACATCTATATCAATGCCACAAGGCTTGACCAGGCATGATGTTCATGCCTTTAATCCCAGCACTCAGGAGGCAGAGGCAGGAGGATCTCTGTGAGTTCAAGGCCAGCCTGATCTACATAGTGAGTTCCAGGCCAGCCAGGGTTACAAAAAGGACCCTGTCTCAAAAATAATAAACAAATAAAAAGTCAATGCTTTATATTTAAAATATGTAAATGAGGCCTTATCACAGTGAAATGTCTTCTGGTTCCCTGCATATTTGTTCTATCATTGGACATGGGATACAACACATATTCCCCTGATTAAAATAACATCCAAAATGCTAAAATGTCTAAAAAACATGGCAGCATGGCCACACGCCACTACCACACATTTGTTTAATATACTTCACCTTGTTGCTATGAAAAACAAAAGAGCTGTATTGGCTTTTACTTTTTGGTGATAGAGATTCAACCCAAGGCCTCGTGGACACTAGCCATGTGCTAGCTGTGAAAGAATTGACTTTATTTTATTGTTTAAGTTTATGGCCATCATACTTGCTTGATTTTATTCTTAAAAGATTTTATTCTTAACAGATTCCCAGCAGGACCTGTTTGACAACATTTGCACTTGTTTTTCTTTTTTAAATATAACCATGGAGAGACTTGTTAGGATCAGGTAACAAAACAAACACACACCTGCACACACAAGCATACATATATTCACCAGTAGAGGCCAGCCTGTCAGCATGAGAGATTAGCTAGCCATATTGGATGGAATTTCTAAGTCACAGATCCCTGGTGAGAAATGTCCATGTTTGTACAGGTTGTAATTTGCTTCCAAGAAAAATGTGATTAAAAGGGAACATCTAAACCCTCTGTGTTCCCTCTTAATAGCATTGGTAAAGGCAAATGTGGTTTTAGCTATGTGGATAGTATTCCTTAGAGTGCCTGCTCCAATGCTCTAAACCTGGGGTGCTGCTCACTATGTTCATCTGACCAAAAAGAGTAAGGATGGCAGTCACCGTTCTCTCCACCAGTAGAAACTGTCAAGCACGCCCCATTGGTCCTGTGTCCCCGTTGTCTGTTTATGAGAGCTCCATCCTCACATCTCACATTGTAGAGAAGAGTAAGCATGTGGATCACTATTCTCCTCTTTCCACCTCACCCCCAGAATTTCACTTCTGGGATCAGAGGAAAGAGGGAAGGCAGGGAAAGAAGTATCTTCTGATGTTTAAAGAAAGCAAATAATTAAATCACCAGTGTTGTATGAGAGAGCCATCTCACTCAATATAAAGTTCATTGTAGGGGCTGAAGAGATGGCTCAGCGGTTTAGAGCACTGACTGCTCTTGCAGAGGACCTGGGTTCGATTCCCAGCACCCACATGGTGGCTACGAAACGTCCTTAACTCCAGTTCCAGGGGAATCCGAAGCCCTCTTCTGACCTCTGCGGCACTGCAAGACACATGTGCACTCACATACATGCAGTCAATACATTCATACACATAAAATAAAAACAATAAAATATTTTTAAAGTTCATTGTACAGAAGGAGGCAAACAGCTTGAAACAGCATCATGACACATATAAATAATTTTTCTTGTTAGAGAGTTTCAGATTTCTTAACACCAGCCAGGAAACAAACTGTGGAAAAGGGTTACATAATTCGGCAGACTATTTAAATAAAATGAAATAAAAAAGTCAAATAAATATATCTCTTCCTGTTTAGTTGGTACCAGGAGTTATTTGAAGTAATATAACTAAGACAGAATTACTAATAATTGCTCTAATGGCAAACATTAAAAGGTATGACTTCCAATATCCCAGAAGCACAATCATCAGGACACAGAGAAGAACTGAACAAGCTGTGACTGTCAACAAACCATTCCCATTCAGAACCATGAGGTCCGCCTGCCCGAAACACAGAACAAAGCTTGAATTCCATGTGCCTCACTCTGTGGAGCATCAGGCTTTTTACCTATGAGTCCAGCACATACAAAAATTCAACTAATAGCCTTTTCCTCTTCCGGGGACGGTGTTTGCAGGCACTCAGAATGGTCTAGCAGTTGACATACCGTTGTAGGCTTTCCTACAACACAGCCTCTAACAAAACTAGGCTGTCTGGAACCCCTGGTAACAGGATTGTTTACCTTTATACCAAGAAGGTTGGGAAAGCACCAAAATCTGCATGTGGTGTGTGCCTGAGCAGACTTCGAGGGGTTCAAGCTGTGAGGCCTAAAGTCCTCATGAGATTGTCCAAAACAAAAAAACATATCAGCAGGGCCTATGGTGGTTCTATGTGTACTAAATGTGTTCGTGACAGGATCAAGTGTGCTTTCCTTATTGAGGAGCAGAAAGTCGTTGTGAAAGTGTTGAAGACACAAGCACAGAGTCAGAAAGTGAAATAACCATGAGGCTTTTCTAAGTGATAAAAACCACAGCTTGTTGTGAAAAAAAAAAATTCAACTAATATAGGTTCACCATGCCATAAGAAGAAGCAACCTAAGGGAGAAAAGATTTACTTCAGCTCAAGGTTTGAGAGGATACAGTCCATCTTGGCAGGGAAGGCATGGTGACAGGAGCATGAGGTGGCTGGCCACATTGTGTTTACAGACAGGAAGCCAAAAAGGGTGAATGCTGGTGTGCAGCTGGCTTTCTTCTTTCTCCCTTTAAATTCAGTTTGGGACCCCAGCCCAAT